TGTATGGACAGACTGGGGAATGATGTGGTGGAGAGGAGTGCTGTGGAAAGGGGCCTGGGTGTCCTAGTCAGTGGCCAGGTGAACATGAGCCAGCAGTGCTCTGGCAGCCAGGAGGGACATCCCTGTCCTGAGGGACATCAGGCACAGCATCACCAGCCAGGCAAGGGAGGAGATTGTCCTGCTCTGCTCTGGGCTGGGGCAGCCTCACCTCGAGTGCTGAGGGCAGTTTTGGGCACCACAGTGGAAAAAGATGTGGAGATATTGGAGAGTGGCCAAAGGCAATAAAGATGGTGAAGGTCCTTGAGGAGAAGCCATATGAAGCTGAGGGCACTTGGTCTGTTCAGCCTGGAGGACACTGAGGGGAGACCTCACTGCACTTAGAGCTTCCTCATAGGGGCAGAGGAGGGGCAGGCTCTGATCTCTGTGGTGACAGAACGCAAGGGAATGGCCTGAAGTTGTGTCAGGGCAGGTTTAGGTTGGATGTTAGGAAGAGGTTCTTCCCCCAGAGGGTGGTTGGGCAGTGGAACAGGCTCCCCAGGGCAGTGGTCACAGCACCAGCCTGGCAGAGCTCGAAAAGGGTTTAGTCAGTGCTCTCAGGTACATAATGTGACATTTGTGGATGGTTCTGTGCAGGGCCAGGAGCTGGACTCAGTGATCCCTGTGGGTCCTCTCCAACTCAGGATATTCATTGATTCTTCAGTGAATATTGAAGAGTTTCATTCATGGACCTTCTCCTTAAGAGGCATCTCTATCCGGACAGATCCACTTTTATCAGATGGAGCTGTAAGTGCAAGGTTGGCATTCAGGGCACACAGAAATACTCCAGGGTAGCCACAGGTCAGCAGCAAGGACTGAGCCGTGCTTTCTGTGCATCCTGGGCAGCTGTGGGGGCTGGAGGCTGAGTCCTGGAGTGACCCAGCTCTGTGGATCAGCTCCGTGGCCGTGCTGGTGCTGCAGCAGACTCCCGGTCCTCCCGTTCCCCTGTGACGTTCTCTTGCTGCTGGCAGCCTTTCAGGCTGTTAGCACAGCCTGAATTCTGATGTTGCAGAAAAAATGCATAAAAGGTAGAGGCAAATGGGAGTGTTGAGATAGCTTTGTGAAAATCACTGTATAAGATATTGGTCAGTAAATTCAGATGCAGCCCTTTTACGGCTTGCAAAAATACAGCTTGTATGATCTTTGTTTGAAAATAATTTTTCTCTTAGGGCTTGTCAGAACAAGAGATTTTTCAGAGCACACTGCTGCTGTTCAGTGTATATGTATCTGTGGCTTTTGTTCCCTATGTCCTCCAGCAGAGTTTTTTTTCTCCCATCTGTAAGTTGGCTTTTTTTTGAATGTTGGACAAAAGTACCTGAGTGTTTACACTACACAAGCTGAATTTGTTCTGAGCTCAGAAAGCAGTGGAGAGCAGCAGGATGAGCTGCTGTGGCAGCACATGGAGCGTGTCCTCTCCTGACCCTCTCCCCTGGTCCCAGAGATGCCTGGCAAGTGGAGGCTTGGCACCCTTCCCTGGCTGGTTACACAATGCTCTCCGTGCCCTACTTATCTGAACAAAAGCTGCTCTGAGCAGCACGGGCATCGCACCTAGGTCACACAGGCAGAAAAAGCCATCTCCTGACAGAATTTTACTGAATCATGATGGAGCTTTCCTTCATGGTAAGTCGGTGAGGATTGTCAGGTTTCAGATGATGGCTTGCCTTGCTTGCTCGATATATGCAGAGCTGAGAGCTATTAAACTTGCTGATGTCACCCCGGAGAGGAGGAGGGAGTAGCATCACTACAGAGGTCTCAGGTTTGCATGTAAACAGAGACAGCACTGAAAATCTTGCACTGAAAAGAAAAGGGTTGGGTTTGCTTTTGTCATTTATTGATTAAAGAAACAACAAAACCTTGGGTACTCGCCTGTTACATTTGAAAGAATCGATGTTAATTCTATGACAGAAAGCATGTTAAGTTACCTAAATCAGCATCAGATTACTGTTACTTTACTACCAGACCTAGTGCTTTCATCAGTTCTCTTTCTATGGAATCCACTGTACCTCTCATCCTTGGAAAGGTTATCTTCGGAATTGTTTCCACAATCAGAGGCAAGTCAAGGACTCCAGAGGAGATGGAATGGGCTGTAGATAACTCTGCAATTACAGATGGCTACAAATCAAGGTGATTTAGGGCTTGGCTGATCTTAAAAGTCTCTTCTAACCTAAACGATTCTGATTGTGCCTTGAGCCGCAGCCCTTGAGAAGAGCCTGTTAGTTTTTAACATTCAGAACACTGCCTTCTAGGTAAATCCTCTTACTGGGGATTTGAATTTCTATAGACTGCTGTCTGCCTTGAGGTATTGTGTGTCGTCTCTGAGCTGCAGCGGCCTCTCCTGCATAACAACTATTCCACACAGCAGTAGCCAGCTCAGTGCTGCAATATTTGAGAGGGGTGCAGATGTTTGCCAGCCGCTGCTGTTGGTTGCAGAAATGGAAGTTGGAAATTATTACAATTTTTTAATTTTTTTGGTGCTGGTAATTGTGATTAGTGGATCTGCATTTGGCTGATGAGGTTGATGGGTTAAAATGTGTGCATGGGGGATTTTTATGGTCTGATTTTGGGTACTTAATGGGGTGCTATGTATTATTTATCCGGAAAGAGGTGTAGGTTTGCTCGTGTGTGTGCATTTCAGAGGTGCTTGGTTTGGAAGCTTCAGGGGTTTCTGTGTATTGCTTTAAATTGTGATAACTGTCTAGTGCAAATGGTGTGTTTTTCTGTAGTTACTGGCTTTGGTTTATCAATTTCTTTACTGTTTGTAGATTAGTGAACAGTGCAAATAGAAATTTGCCACACTAAGAAAATTTTCATCATGTGGATTTTGAATTTCAAAAGTTGGCTACTGTAGCAGTGAATATTTAATTTTTAGGAGGGATTGCTGAGAATATTTCTGCTTTTTTTTTTTTACTGTATAGTACTTGATACTATTGGCATACTTATATATTAAAATGGTTAGCTATTCTTACATGGTTGCCTGCTTTCTCTCAGTGAGTCTCACTGCAGTAACCCTTCAGAAGAGCTGCTACAGAAGAGCTGTCAATCTTTTTACTTTAGATTTGCTTATTTTTTATAATAGCATTACTAGATGAGAGCAAATCTGTTCCATTCTGCTGTATCTTTCTGTAGTAATTGTAAGTGATGGTGCAAGGTGACACATCTGTACAGGAAGGATTTTGTACCTTTTAGATCAGTAACACCCAGTTGTACAGGCCAGAGCCTTTTATTTTTCTTTTGGCAGGCAAAATGCAATTTAAGATAGAGCATTTTATTTTTATTTAGTTTTTTTTTTTTTAAAGTTGTCTGCTTAGTAGAATCACTATGGTAACAGACTAAAGGATGTCTCTGAGGCACTCAACCTGCATTGCAATGTAAGTGAGGGGAGACTGTAAGTTGTCTGCCTGCTGAGCAGTAGGGAAAGGAACAGAACAGCAGAGAAATAAGCTAATAATTAATATTTGTAAGCTATTATTTAATGCTTGCACTAAGGTTAAAAGGTTATTTTATGGTGTGAATCCATTGGTTTTTGTGTTCTCTTCAGGGGGGATATTACTAAGATGTTCATTATAAATCATGAATTTGTGTTGTTATTCAACTTGAGTTTGGTTCATTTTTAAAATGCTGTTATATGTTTCAAATTACGTTGATGAAGTGGGTGAGGAGGAAGCTGCATCCATGTATGTCAGAGTTTATGGAAGTGTCAGCATTCTTGTTATGTCTTGCATTGGATAATATATTAATTTTCTAATTTTTGTCCCTATTAAAATTAGGGCTTTTTGGAAACGTGATGGTCTGATAAAATCTTAAACATCTTAGAGATGTGTTTTTTATAGACATGGTGTACTCAAGGAGTTATTATGACCATGAAGAAAGTTAAGTAGCATCTAATAGCTGAGTACAATACTGAAAGGGTGTTGCACCTATTCATTGATACAGACTTTTTTTCTTCCTAGCTACTGCAGTAAGCTCCCAGTGCCACCTAGTTTGGCATCCTGAATAGTTTGATCTAAAATATCATTTTTGTGCTAAGAAAATAAAGTTTGCTAAATATTCAGTCATGTTTTGTGTATTAGAACTCACTTGATACTGTATTTTATAAATAACTGTATTTATTGACAGTAAAATTTCATAGGTGACTCTTAGGCTCCTGTATTTCTAGGCCTTATTCTCTGTTGAACTAATATGTCAATTAAAATTTCACACCATGTGGGGATTTTCTCAGAAGTTTATGGAAAAGCTCAGGAACTGGAGTTTTTTTGTCTGTTCCATTCATCTTTATACACTCGTGTCTCAAACTAAATACTGATCATTGAATTAACATGACATTTGCAGACAGACTTCAGTGCTCTGATTATGTGACCTTCTTTATAGATGAGTGAAAAAACTTACCTCAGAACCTAGAATGTTTTAAAAGATTTTTTTTTTATTCCTTAAAGAAAAGTGATTAAAATTATACAAGGTTTAATGTTTAACTGAAGTTTTCTCACATCTGGAGGAGAGAATGTGAGAACTTATGGCCTTCTTATGAACTCATATTCTAATGTAGAGGTATTCATATTAAATTTTTTTTTGACAAGAGTTCAATTTTTTTAGAAACTTAAAATAACTCAGTTTGTAGGGAGAGTGTTCTATTTTTCTAGATAGATTGAGTGCTTAAGTATTTATCTCCATGAGGCTGTGAGCTGGTGTGTCTGCGGTCCAGTTGTGTATATTATTTCAGATGCAACCCCATGTTTTATTAAGATCTGTTGCTATCATACGTTCATAGAAGCATTGAAGTATTTGCAATAAAAAAAATAACTTTCCTGTAGTAAACAGTTGAACAGAAATTGAAAACTGTTTTTTTTTAAGACACATGGTAAAATGCAGTATTGATTTTCAAGTAGAAAATTGATTTACTCTTAGTAGTTTGCCCAAGTGCTAGTATTACTTTGTTTGAAAAGCAAATAATTCTTTTTTCTTTCCAGCATTTTCAGTTAGCTTTGATTGACTGCAATCCCTGCACTTTGTCTAACGCTGAAAGTAAGTAACCAATAAGTATTTATTTTGTTGTGGATCTTTTTTAAAGTGTTATGCTTGCAACTGTATGAAATTTTAATGAGCCAGGTCTTCAAAATCAAAAGAATTGGTACTGAGAAAGGGAGGCTACAAAACCTGTCTGCCTCTCTCAGTGGAGACAGATGTTCCAGTGGAATTGTGGATTGTTTTAGAAAATGGAATAAGTAAAAATTGAGACTTAGCTTATTCATTACTCCAAAGAATTGAATCCTGGAGGAAACTTACTATTTGACTGCTTTTTATGTATTTATAAACTCGGAGCTTGTGCTGTGGCAAACATTTAACACCAATTATTTTAAACTTTGCATCATCTTAATAATCTATATTTTTTCAGTGATTATTGTCATGCCATTCAAATTTACAGATCCAAAACCATAATTTATCCAAAATTACTGTAGAAATAAGGAAAAAAAATCCCATATTAGTGATTTTTTGATCTCAACTATATATTAGTCTATATTTGAACATGTTAATCCTTAGCGCAGTGTGATCTATTATAGGTTGTAACACAGTGTCCTGCAGGTATTTATACATAGTTTGTGGACTTGTATGCAAGAATAAACATGTGTTTCTCCATGTTTTGGAGTCTGTAAGAATTAAAAGGCAGAGAGTTGTGAAGGAAATTATTCCTTCAGTTTTTAAGGTACCTTCATGCTTGAGCTTAAGTTGTTATTCATGTTTAGCTTAAGTTACCTCCCAAATCTCACTTCAGAGGCATTGGATATAATATTTAAAAACATTTCTGTAAAAACTGGATGGAATTGTGGATATTGTATCAGCAAGGTAGTGAAAGGGAGTTTGTTCACATGGCTGAAACCACTGGCTGTATCAAGGAGCCAGCTGTGCTTCAAGGTTTTTCTTCAAAGCTTTGTCACTTATCAGCAACAGACACAGATAGTTTTGTAAAAATTTGCAGAATTCTCCCAGAGTCAATAGGCTTTTATTACTGTTCTATCAGACATGTGAGTCTTTATTGTATTTTGTGTTTGTTCATATTCTTTCTCACTAAGTTTATCAGTTTTCACTAAACCTCTGGATTTCTGTAAAGTTTTCCTACCCCTTGCCCTCCAGTCCCCTCTGCCCCCAGATTTGTGTAGAGGGGTGGCCCCATGTAAAGGCTTCAGTGCCTGACAAACCCAAAGGAGGAGAGTGAAGAGGACTGTGAGAGGTGCTTGGCCAGGTCCCAGTGTGCTGCTCTGGAAGGAGAACTGAACCCCCTGCCCCGGGGTGTTGGGTACCCTCACTAAATGCTCCATTTAATCCTCCCCCTTGCATTTCTAAGGGCTGGGTGAGTAGCAGCATTACACCGAGTGTGTTCCAGCAGAAATGTTCCCAGCAGAGTACTAAGCATCTCTTCTTCCTATTTGCACTGTCGCTAACCTGACACCTTTAATTCTCCTTTCCTCTCCAAGGCATCACTTCATTTTGAAGCTTCACACTGAAGGGGTTTTGTTAGGAGGGGAAAAAATGAGAGAGAGGTTTTTTAGATAATGAACTCCTGAAACAAATGCAGGGCTTTTCTTTCATCAGTACACAGTGCTAAGTTTGATGATGCAGTGAACATAATGGGTGTGTTATGTGCCCTTTAGCAAGAACACAAAAAGTTTATTAAAATTTTAGATGATGTATTTCATTCTGACCTGGTTTCCCAAGTGCACTTGGCTTCCTTCTTTATAGCAGAGGACAAAGCAATGCACAAAGGGAGATATTTTCCCTCCCTTATGACCCAGAGTGAAACCCTGAACTCCATATTGCCTGTATGTATGGTAATTTGATGTCATACTATTCTGTAGCTTCAAGGGAGAGAAATCTGTGTAATTGAAGTAAATTGAGCTTGGCTCAAACACAGGTATTTTCTTACTTGTAATCCTCACAAACGTGGAGCAAAAGTCTGTCTCGAAGGAACTTTTCTTTCCTCATCAAAGCAGAATGAGGACTACATTAATCTCAATTAGCTTTAGCTATCTACCAGTCCATGGAATGTCCAGGTTAGCAGTTCTCAAATCTTTTCTGTGATGATTTGAGCAGTGTGAGGGTAATTTTGTCTCTGCTTTTACTCTTGAACAACCCATTTTTCTTTCTCCAGCCAGCAATCTTCTTGCCTGCACAGGCTCTGGTAGTATTATGGCATTCTGGACAATTTACATGAGGAATTGAAAATGCTTAATAGTTACAATCAAAGTATCACCTGTAATTAACACTATCACCTGTAATTAAACTTCTGGTTCAGTTTAACAAGGGAAAGACAATTCCTAAAAGGAAGAAAAACACCTAAATTTAAGCTTCCAAGTAAAACTGGCAGTGTGCAACATAATGTCCTGTAACCTAGTTAGTCTTATTTCTTGGCAGCTGAATGAAAATGTTTATTTCTAGCTTGGTTATGTGCAGAAAATACTACCTGTGTTCTCTTACCTCAGCTACAAGAGATTTTATTGCTAAGTTTACTAAGAGGTTAATGGACTGTGTTTCAGAACACCAATAAAATCCATGGACTGCTTATCTCAGTATCTGTTTGCAGTTTTCATGCTTTGTTGGGATATTAATTTTATGTAAGTTCTGGTATATTAAGTGTGAAATATCAATGTCAAAAAATTCTCTTTTGGTATCTTCAAAATGTAATTTGTCTTGGTAAGCATTGGTAAATTTGAAACATTGTTTATCCCTCACTTCAAAACATTGCAATTGCTCTTGTTCATTAAAACTAATAACTTTGATTTTCCCACTCTTACAGTTCAGTTTCACATTGCCCACTTATATGAAATCCAGGTAAGTTTTTAAGCTCATTTTCATAAAGTGTGGTTGAGTTTCAAACTATGTGATGGAATCAGTCCGTGGAATTCAGATTATAAATGCTTTAGTAAATTTATCCTGAAGTCTTGAATCACTCAAGAAACTTGACTTTCTTTGGCTAAATTAAAAACATTTTCTGTGTGGAGTCTGATGCTATAAAATGTGATAGGTATCTTAATAAACATATATTTACTAATCTCCATATTTGAGTGCAAAAAAAAAACTAAAAACCCAAATCCCAAAATACAACTTCCAGGAAAATTCTTTTACGAAATTCTGTTTATATTAAAAAATTATATGTAGATTTAAAAATATGAAGTTTCTCAATTCATGTATATATATTTATACTGTTTCTCATGTACACACACAGAATCAGTCCCAACCAGTTGGCAATGTGCCTTTTTAGTATATGTGGTATATTTGACATGAAATTTTCAAATTTAAGTGCAATTTTAAAAGTTCTTAAATTTTCAAATTAAATTGATGCATGTGGCATTAAGGATCTGTGGTCAACAGCAAATAAAGCTGTGTTACTAATTCTGGGTCATATCCTACCACAGAGCTTTTCAGGTGAATCTTTTGGGAAAATAACAGAACACTTCCTGAGCTTCCAGAATATCAGTAAATTGAATTCAAGTGGCTTCTGAGACAGCTGTGGTATATTTGAGATTTGTCTGACACTAGTTACATAATGTAGATGTTGTGCCCTTCTACAACATTTATATGTATCATGTGACTGAGGAAGGGATGGGACATGAAAACAAAACATGTTGTAAATGAAATGGATGACAAACTATATTTTCAGTCACTTAGAAAGTGAGTGCTGTCTTTCGATGGCACAGTGAAAAATGGCCTGAAGTATTTCTGTGTAAATAATAGATATGAATCTGATAAACAGAATATTTTTGAGTGCTTTTGGTGCAAAGTTGTATGACAGGACAGAAATCTGCCATCCCAAAGCACCATTAAGCAAGTTCATGGATTGTTGTGGTTCTTACTTGGCTGCCATCCAGATTCCATTCAGCACATCAGTTCTGCTTTAGTCCAGCAGATGACAAGCAGGTTAAACACCCCAGGTCACCATGCCAGGTGTCCTGTGTGGCCAGTGTTAGCTGTGCTTAAGCTGTGCTTTCTGGCTGGCAATTACAGGCAGCAGGAATTTTGTTTTAATGCAAGTCAGACCAAAAACTTTCCGGTGCGTTGTGCTCTTAGGTTTGGTTTGTCTCACAGTTCTGGTGGGGAGAGGTATCTTGTTTTTTGGAATTTGGCAAACTGACAACCAAAAGAGTCTTGGCTTCACTCTGGATATTACCTCTGACACAATTAGAGAGGTTTTGGAGACAGGCTGGTTGCTCAGTTTCTTTTACAGGACCCAGTGAAACAGTTTTTTGAACCCCTCCATATACTTTCAAATTATATACTCTCATAATATTAATGAAAAAGTTAATTCTCTTCTTTATTAAGTACCACAGTACTTTAAATGATGGATTGCCAGGCTCTGGACAAGAGACAAGCCTAGTGCTGATGAGAATTAGCAGTGGTTAATGCTGGTTTCTAATATTTCACCTCTGGAAGTGAGATGGCTTCTATGATGTCTAAAGAAAGATGCTGGATTGGGTTCTCCTTCCCTTTTCCATTTCTAAGACCATTCATGATGCAGCCAAACATCAAGGACTTTGGAATTAGCATAGAGGCATAAAGTTCTTCCATGTGAGGGTGGTGAGGCCCTGGGCAGGTTGCCAGAGAAGCTGTGAGTGCTCTGTCCCTGGAAGTGTCCAAGGCCAGGTCGGAGCTCTGAGCCACCTTTAGATACTTTCCTACCCAAACCATTCTGATTCGATGAAGTAAAACCAAATGTAAACATTAGGACAGATTTTGTTAGTATTTTAAGGCATGTAGGCAATCAGATTTATCAGATTTCTAAGGGGTAAATGCTACAACAAATTACAAAAGTAAAAAATACTCTAGGTGTGGAAAACATGCCCTATTTTAAAAGTCCTTTCTGAAACCTCCTGAGCCTGTAAACATATTTTTCAAAGTGTGAATATTAGGCACTAATATTTACCTAATTTGACATCTGGATTGCTACCTCTGCTGTCATGCTCTACAGTGAACTTCTGTTCATTTGCTCAACATTCATAGTCATAAACTACAAATTTTGTTCCCAATGCTAAATTTAAAATCTTTTCCTGATTGTTTTTCTTTTGCTGGACATGGATATTTTATTTATTTATATTATTTGTTTTCTTACCAGTTGTCTGCATTTCATGAACACCAATTAAAAATCTTTCCTACCAACTTCCCCTTGTTCCATTTGAAAGTATGTAATTGCTGCTTTAATTTTTCTTCCTGACTAGAATAAGGTTTTTAAATCACCAATATTTGTCTTTTGTGATTTTGAGATTTCAAGAACTTGATAACATTTTTTAACTCTGCTAGGTATTTAATTGTTTAGTTTTCTTCCCAATTGTCCCTTCAAAACACCAATACTAATTACTGTGTACTCCTTGCTTAAAACAAATGTAATTAAGCCACAGTCATTTGCATTTAGTTGGCCCCATTTATTTTAATGTACTCTTCATCTCTTTGCCAGAATGAAGTCTAATGTTGAATTACCTAAAAGCATATTGTGGAAGAGGAGACGCAGAACAGTGAAACATTTAAAATACATTCACTTTTAAGCAACTATTGTTAGGGAATGCAAAGATAAATGCTGACATTATTACCAAATAATTCATCAATTTTTGAGAAGTCTTAACCTTTAATATACACAAACCAGCTCACACAGTTCACAGAAATCAATAAAGACCCCCAATCATAACCTGGAAATGTTTTTCCTGTACCAACACCTCTTTGTATAGGGAATTGAAAACTGAGTGTTTCTAGACTGTAGGCACACCTAAACTATACAGCAGATTATAAGATGTACCTTCATTATCTAGGCATAAACCTTTTAATTCTACATGTGGTGGAACTCTTACCAGGATAACAAATATCTTGAAAGAGGCAGTTCAAATATACCAAAGGAAGGAAAGAGGCAAAATTATACCAGCCTCCAATTACTGATGATCTTGGTTTTTGTTACAAATTTCCTGGGAGGAATTTGTGTGGGGTTTTCTCAAATGTAGATTCACATTCAAGTATTGCCCTTAAAAGCAAAATATTCAATATTGTAGTGTAGAAAGCATAATGCATGTATGAGGAGTTGACAAAATTTAATAATTTGCAAATTTATCTCAATTATTTTAAGCAGACAGTTTCTATTAAATACTATATTTATGGAAGTTTTTATCTTACCATATATATACGTCACTCATTAAAGCTTTCATATGCACTGTATGCAAAAAAAAAAAAATCTATAATTTTTTGTCAATGTGTTTGTGTGCTGTCAGTGCTGTGAAATCGTTGCTATTGGTGATCTGTTGTAAGCTCTATGATTAATCCATTTACTTTTTTCCTTTTGCAGAGAAAGTATCACTCTGCAAAGGAAGCTTATGAACAGCTTTTGCAGATCGAAAACCTTCCTGCACAAGTAAAAGCAACTGTCTTACAGCAGTTAGGTATGTAAAATTAACTTTTATTTTCCTCTGTGTTTTGTTTTTGCCATCTTTGCCTTCAGCAGTGTTTTTTAAGGCTCCATTTCCAAAGGGTCTTAGACACACTGCACATGGTACGTGAGATTTTCACCCAAATAGAACATATAGCAATAATCAAATAAATAAGAGAGGAGGAAAATATTTTGATTAAATTTACAAAATTAAAAAGCTCTTGTGTGTTAGATTTTGGGCAGTGAGAGGGTGGTTTTTCAGAGAAAGAGGGCAGCAGTTGGAATTCTGTGTTCTCTGTTCTGACTCTGTTAACATCCCTTGAAAAAACCTAAATATTCTGTGTCAGAATAGAAGAACATGGCAACTGGAAAATTTACCTATACTTTTGCTATAATTATACTCTGTAATGAAAACTGGCTTCTGTAACTAAAAGGTTTATCATCAGGTTCTATTAAAAAGACCACATAAAAAGTGAAAAGGAATTTTTTTTTTTAATTGTCGTATTCCATTTTTATAGAAAACTGATAAACTATTTTTAGCCAAGAATTTCTAAAAAGTGGATAGAATAAAATGTTTTTGTCCTCTATACCATATAAAAGTTTTTCCAGAATATTTTGTTAAAATTCTTCAACCCAGTTCAGAACTTCTTCATTCACCTTCTCCATGTTCTTCATCTAATTTATTATTCTAAGTATTAATTTAGCCTGCTTATGCCCATTTTTATTTTTTTTCCCTCTTCACATAGTGGTCATTTAACTCAAATTTGCAACTGGCATTAAGTTATGGCCACAGTGCTTTCTTTTTCTGTGATGCAGGTTGTGTATGGATTTGGAGTGGGATAATTTGTGCTCTGTGACAGAATGTCAAAATCAGTGGGCTAATTTTGAGTCATCTCTGTGAAATCACAAGTGAAACTGCTGGAGGAGTTTGCTGCAGGACTCTGGGTGTTGCTCTTTTTGCTGTCACAGGACATTGTTGCTTACATCTCAGTAAACTCTTTGAATTTTTATTTTTTTAGCTTGATATTATGTCACCTAGTATAAATTGTCAGCAGTTTCATCCAGAAAAGCTGTACATCTGTTCAGTGCAAGACAGGCTTCTCAAAAGAGCTGACCAGCTCTTTTTCATCTCTGATATATGTTGCCACAATAGAAGCAAAGGCACATGGTTGTATTCATAAAATCCTGCCACAGGTCTCTGTGCTAGCAGTAAGAGCAGTGACTTTGAGAAGTGTCTGCTGTCTGAAAACTGGATTAACTCTCTTTATTCAATCAGCATAGGTCACCCAGTTTGGTTGTGTGGGTAGCTTCTATGTGGGGAAAGGGATAGAGTGGTCTTAACTGGAACACTGAAGTAATAATGCCTTTTCCTTTGCTCTTCTCTGTTAACAGTGGTATTTATCAGAGTCTGGTGTTTATCACAGATTTAGTCTTTAGCAGCTGGTAATAAAAACACCTCCTCAGGAAGCACAGTCCGGGTGGTGCACTGCTGCTTAGAAAAAATAATAGAAAATACCTGCCATCTGCCAGAATGCTACTTGCAAAACCCAGTCAAAACATATTTGTATTTGTATATTGAACTCGGGGTTTTTTTGTTTTTGTTTTTTTTTTTCCACTTTGACAGAAAAAATCAGTTTGAAAATAGCTTTTGTTTATTTTTTTTGCTAGTTAATGTTTATTGAGCCAGATTGGAATTTAGGCAAGTTCAGATGTCTTGTGAGAGAATTACTAGAATCTTTGCTCCTGTGGCTGGTTTCCAAAGCTGTGATTGTGGAGGAGAGCCCTGTGATTCCCAGATAAATACATACCCAGTGGAGGTGATGAGTGCTGACCAGTTCAGGTAGTCATCACAGTAAGATCTTCCTCCTCTTTGCTGTTCCACTGGCTTTCCAGACAACAATTCTCTTCACCACTTTGACCAAAATGACATTAAATTAATGAGACTGAAGATCAAATCTGTCCCAGTATTCTGTCTCCAGTTGTGTTCAGCTGTTGGATGAGGAAGAGTGTTAAGAGAAACATAAACATCTGCTTAGAGTTCCCAAGTGCACTCCCAATTATTTTTGTCTGGGGGCATTGCTGGATGGTGTCTCTGTAATTGGATGAGGCATCTGAGGTGCTGAAATGGGGAAGAATTTAATGTCTTCAGAGACACATTTACTAAAGGAAAAGTGATTGCCACAAATTCAGTGTGAGAATTATTGATAAGCATGTAAAAAAGACTCATGAGCTAGGCTAGCACATCAGAGGGCTTTTTTCTAAATCTGTTCCAAATGAGATTGCAAAGATCTGCAAAAGAGCATGGAACATTTGTGAAGGATGGACAAGGTCTGTGGTTTGGTTTGTTGTATTAAAAATGTCCCAGCAGTGGAAAAGTAGTCAGTTATGCTGGTTGAGTTTTGGAGCTAGGTCTTGCAAATGGGAGACTGCACATCTTAGGAGTTTTCCATCACCTTCTTTATGTACATTATTTTATGCTCAAGAACGGATCCAATTTCCCCTGCCTGTGCTATTCCAGTGGAAAACTTCTGTTTGCTCTCCCTTTCTTGCTTTCTGCCTTTTTCAACTCCCTGTGCAGGAAGACAAAATTGGGAAGCAGCCCTTGTTTCAGCAGAGAAGCCAGATAGGGATTGCTGGTTCTCATTTCTGTCTAGAAATAGACTCGTTCTTTTTTATCAGTGAACCTCAGTAAAGATCTCACAAAGATACAATATGCAGTCTTTCAATCCAGCAAGGTTCTGATGAAACAGAAAATAGGCACACAACATTTCTAAAGATAGAGGAAATTGTTTAATGTCTTTTTTTTTACGATTGTTCATAATCCTTGAACTATTATCTTTATCTCAGGTTTTGTCTGGAACAGCACCTGGTACATATATCCTTAACATACAGTTACTCAGGTGATACCAATCAACCAACCTCAGAGAAGCCTTTTTTGTTAAAGCATGAGTATAGTCTGTATGCTGAAGAACTTCAGAGGCTTGGGATTTGAATCAAAATCATAGCTTGTTTATTAATTTAATGACACAAAGTTGTTTAACATGACTGCAAAAATCACTGGGGTTTTTTTTCTTTTTTTTTTTTTTTTTTTCCCTGATTGGTAGATTTTTTACTTGATCGATTTTCAGTCAAGATAAAGTACTTTCTGCAGCAATGTAACCACTTGACTCCTTACCTGACATTTCTTACAGTCCATGAAATACTCGAACTTCTGCTTGTAACCACAATTTTCAAGTGATATTTCTGAGACTACCTCAGGCAAATGTTGTTCAGTGGCTGTGATTTTGTTATCAACTGCCTTTGTTCAAGTTTGGAAGTTTGCATTCCATTTGCAGAAGTGTGGTGTCTGCTAACAAATATGAGCCCATGGAATAAAAAAATAAGCTGTATCAAACAGGTAGAATAAAAATCATAAAGGAAAGTGTAATTACAGAGAGCGAGGTGAGCCTGCAAATACCCATCAGTTCCTTCTCAGTCTTGCCTGTCCATGTAGTTAGACTTTATCAAAAAGCACAAATTTAGGGTGCTGAATGTTTAGTTCTCAGAGGTTTTAAGTGGACAGGCAGTGCAGGTATGTGCTCAACTCTGTCATTAACCAGCACTTTATACAAACTTTGGATAATTTATGAAATCCATGTCATAGTATTCCACAAGGGGCTGTTTATGTGTGTGACAGGGACAGTCTTCTGTCACATCTTACATTTTACAGATGTTTTCTGAAAAGCAGTGGCTTGTTAAGACAAATACATGGTTATTGAGCAAACAGCAAGACATTGCTGAGCACTGTGGTATGCAGGGATTTCAGCAAGCCAGCTGCTGGCCACAAAAGATTTCCTTGTTTGTACTCATTGTATGAACAGCAGTGAGATGGTTTTGTGGCTGCTTCAAGGAATTCCATCTGAGCATGAAGGCAGATGAGGAACAGCTGGAGAAGGTGATGAAGGTGCTTTGTTTGAAGTGGTAACCAAGCCTTGCATCAGTGCTAGAGCAGAGATGCATTTTAATAAGCATGTAAAATATTATTGGGGAGGATGGGTTGTGGGAGGCCTTTAAAGTGGGGATGAATAATTTGTCTAATGTAATGAAAGAAGAAAAGGCATTTGAAAGAATATGACGTGTGGTTAGATTAATTTGTTATGTAGATGAGAGGTGATGGCATTTGTCAAGGTGAATGGAAAATATGTTGTAGTAATGAGGAGGAAATGACAATGTAAGAAAGATTCAAGTTGAAATGCAAGAATTCTTAGTCCAAATGTAGATATGGGACAAATACAAGGATTTAGAAGAAAAAGAGTAAAAAACTTAATATGTAAATGTTGCACAGGATATATATATGTATATATATATTTGTATGTATAAAAAGAATAATTGCTATGCGTAACAGGGAGAATGGTGGCATTTTTCACAATGTCAGGGAAGATATCTGTTTCAGAGGAGGAAAGACATTAATATTCACTTTTATACTAGAAGATTGAGCAGTTCATAATTGTATTCCTAATCTCTTAGAAAATTATTTAAACCCAAAAAAAGTGCTTTAAAACTCTGTGAAAGTAATTTTAATTTTGAGTCTTTTTTGTCCTGTAATTTTAGTATAGAACTTTAAAAGATTTTACAACATTGTCATGTATATAGAAGTGGTTTTGTTGCTCGATATTCTTATTTTTAAAGAGACACCAATGCTACAAAGTCCTGCTGTGCCAGAATATTAAATGGTCTTGGGGAATTTCACTTCTCCCATTTGTGAATTGTTTTTGTAGGCTGGATGCATCACACCGTGGATCAGCTTGGAGACAAGGCAACCAAGGAAAGCTATGCTATACAGTATCTCCAGAAATCTCTAGAAGCAGATCCAAATTCTGGTCAATCCTGGTATTTCCTTGGAAGGTGAGAACAGACTTTATAGACACTGTAACTATATTGGTAAATTTCTTTGAGGATACTCATTATTGTATCTTAATGGTTTTTTTCCTTAATCCTGTCAGAGGAAAAGTGAAGTATGTATACATCTACTTAAGTTTTCTGGGAAGTGTATGAAAAGACAAGATGATAACATATTTGGGATGAATAAAGATTAGAAGTTGAAATGAAGTATGTTACCCAAATGGCTCTGCTTTTTTGTAGTTATTATTCAGTCTACACATTTACAGTAATCTGAATATATCTGGCCTGGTTTTACCTGTTTCTCTCACTCTTTTTTGTAAATCCTCTCTAAATGTTGTTACTTTTCTTCATACATTTTTCATAATTCTTTTTCTCTTTATTTTTTCAGAATCTCCCTCCTAATCTCAGTTTTTGCACTGAAATACAAATATTTTCCTAGGCAGACATCCATTTTTAAAGAGCATACACAGCAATGTATGGCTCAGACTGATCCATTCTAATGTGTATTTAAGTGTTCAATTAATTTTGTAGCCTTTGATCGTATTTTTTACTTGAAAAATATCATTACCAGATGTAAATCATATAAATTTGATGAGTTTTTTCTGGTCTCCTTTTTAAGAAAATGGAATACTTCACTTAAACCAGCAGAAACTATTGAAATACTCAGGTTTTGGAGAAAGCTTTGAGAGCAATTCTAGTCCATATGTATTCCTCAACAGAACATCAGTTCTGTTGAGGAATACATTTTAAAAGAATGAGGCAAAATTAAAATGAATATGCTAACCTCAGTGTCTTCCAGCTGACATTGTTGGGGATTCTGGTCACATGCAGCTGTAACCTATTTTTGATTTTGTCATACTAATAATATTTCTCCAGCTGTTCCTGTAAGACAGGGATCTCCAGCCAGCCCTGAGTGTGTGGGGCAGAGGGGCAGGGCAAGCATGGAGGGAAAAGGAAAAATGAGCCAGGAATCATCTTATTCATCTTATCTTCCACTGGGCTAAAATCCTGTTACAAACAATACATGACACAGTTATTGTTGATAAAACTAGTAAATATATATATAGATGGATATTTGATTTTGACTTTATTTGGAGCTTTTAATTTTAGAAGTGTAGGTATCATTCCCTGTGGTATAATTGTAGTTCTGTTTAATGCCAGAGTACCTTTAAATTTCTACATGAGGAATTAAAGTAAGAAATATAGAAATTAAAATAAAAATATAAAAAAATACAGAATCACACAACTTTTTACAAAATTTGGTGCTCTGTATATGCGGTACAAATAACTAGTTTGTTCATTACTTAAATATGATTGAGATGCAAGAAACACTCATAAAAAGCCTCCCAGGCAGTCAGGGATTATCCTGCTTGAGTTGGTCAGTATCTCTCAATAATTCTGTTTTGTAGAACATTAAGTGTTATAACCATTTGTTTGATGAAATAGGTAACTTCATTGTTTGACTGTAATGCTATCTGTAGATAAACACTGTTTTTATTGACTGATAAGGTGTCACCAGTGAAAGAAGTGCAAATCTATCAAATGTGGGATGACTGTTTTCCTTACAAATGTAGTAATCCAGGGTTTAAGTAGATTTGGGGTGCTTAAATAAATAATTAGTAATCCATGTCAAGATGTTTGAGTCTGCTTGTGGCTGGCATTCAGAAACAGCAAATGCTGAGTGTGTATTTGCATGACTTAACATTTATCAGATCAGACTTGGTACGCCATGCTCGATGATTACCTTCTATAAATACTACCAGAGTTCTTTCTTTTCTTCTCCCAGGTGCTATTCAAGTATTGGGAAAGTTCAGGATGCCTTTATATCTTATAGGCAATCTATTGATAAATCAGAAGCAAGTGCAGATACATGGTGTTCAATAGGGTAAGAATGATACAGGGTAATACAATGATATAATTCCATGCTAATATATATAAATAAAGACTGTCAAATTTTTGTGAAATCAAAGGGACTGTAAAGACTTTTTTATTTATAGACCCATGCTGACAGACTTGTCTGATTTGAAGTTTAAATAATAAATTAATATTTGCTTTCTCAATGTTTTAAAATACTGAAAATGTTACATACAATGTTAAAGTTTTATATAATACCAAGTTTTATTAAGGGGTTGGGGAGGGATGTGTGTATTTGAGTTCCTTGAGTCTTGACTTTGTTATTAATTCTCAACTTCACTAATCTTTCTATTCAGTGTGCTGTACCAACAGCAAAATCAGCCTATGGATGCTTTACAGGCCTATATCTGTGCTGTACAATTGGACCATGGCCATGCTGCAGCCTGGATGGACCTAGGCACACTCTATGAGTCCTGCAACCAGCCTCAGGATGCCATTAAATGCTACTTAAATGCAACTAGGAGCAAAAATTGTAGTAATACCTCTGCACTTGCAGCACGGATAAAGTATTTACAGGTAAAACTAACCTTTTAAGCAGGGGAAATACTCTTCAAACACACAGCAGAGGGGAGGGGAGAAGTCACACATGAGTTTAACTTGCAGTTGTTTGTGGTGTGTTTAACCTGTTTTCATGTGTACTGTAAGCATATCATAGCCTGTAATATTTTATTTCTTCATTTTTTAAGTGGAACTTAATTCCTTATAAACCCTATTTTGCACATTTAATCAAAACATACTGTTTTACATCATTTTGCTTTTTTCTTTGTATTTGTCTACATTTTTAAGTTCTCATAACATATAGTGAGAATACGCAACACACTATCTTTCACTCTTGTTTGCAATTTCAGAAAAAAGGAATTATGAGACCTCTGAATCCAGAGCTCATCTTTGTTCTGATTCTCACAAAGGTTTATATTCTGGTTACCCTCTTTATACCTAGCACCTTTCTAAACCCCAAAATTTTAAATCTGTCCTCTCTTTAAGACATAATTAGCTACAGCATTTAGGAAGATTTCATGGACTTGCTCTTACTAAAGTAGGCTTGTGTTAAATTTGCTTTTTACATAATTTTTCCTAGGCTCAGTTGTGTAACCTTCCACAAGGTAGTCTACAGAATAAAACTAAATTACTTCCTAGTATTGAGGAGGCATGGAGCCTACCAATCCCCGCAGAGCTTACCTCCAGGCAGGGTGCCATGAACACAGCACAGCAGGTGAGAAGTTGGGTTATGTTCTGCAGGTGCCCAGCTTTAAGGGTTCTTTACAATCGGTAGTGGTCAAGCTTATTTTATTGAGCACAGGATTGGCTTTTATTAAAAGAAGCCTTTGATTTATTTGCCAGAGGGATATTAGATCAAGGAGCTCCCTATAATGTGGGAGAAATATGGGGGTACCAATTTAGAACCTTTGTGGATTTTCATGATTTTAAAAGATTTCATCTTAAATAGAAATGCTGCAGTGGTTTAATAATCCCGTGAAAGGTACACATTCCTCCATTGATGACCATATGGAAACTGATTTTTCAGTTATTCAGATCAGCTTCAGAATATCTACTCGGCCCTTTTAATGTATGTGGGCTGATAAAATTATAAAATTGAAAGGAAAGCATTAAGAATATATAGAACCATATTTTTGTCTTCCTTCTGTGATTCTTAGGCTTGTAAACCTCATCATCCAAATACTGAACCTGTACTAGGCCTCACTCAAACACCAATTTCACAGCAATCCTTGCCACTACACATGATTCCTTCTAGCCAAGTAGATGACCTGACCAGTCCTGCCAAGAGGAAAAGAACATCTAGTCCAACAAAGGTATATATTCTGATGAACTGGAGCCCCCTACCAAAATCATATGGAAAATATGCATTGAAATGATGCAGCGTGCACAGAATTTGTGCTGTAAATTTTACTCCTTTGGCATCAAGGTGGGGAATGTCTATAGAAATTTAAAAAACATTTTTCAGCGGTGTGTTTAATCAGATTCCAACTTTAGGCATGAGGTGCCTAAGGGCAGTGCACATTGGTGGCACTATACTGCAGTTGTAGTGGTGTCAGTGAAGAAGTACAGTTGTAGCCTGATGATTGAGAGGGAGACAATCATGTCATCCTGTCTATTGCCTTTGCTTATATTTAGAATTCAAGTGTTTCATCATCATGTAATAGTGTTACAGTAGATAAAGTATTCAGTTTTGAAAGTAGCATACATTTAAGTTAATTGCATAATTTGATTTGCTTGTTTTTCCTTATGGTATTAGATATCATTAATTTTTTTCTCAGACTACTCTGATACTATTGGGAATGGTAGAATGAGACTTGGTTATTTTAGTACATTCTTACTATTATATATTTTTATATTACTGTTCTTGAAACAATTACTAGTTCTTTCATAAATAAGCTAAAATCTAGATAGTAAAAGAGAAATTATGTTGGCCCTTTGATAGTCACACATTTTAATGTAACATTTTCTCTCAGAATACTTCAGATGTTTGGAGCAGTGGCCATACAGTGTCACATCCTCCTGTACAGCAACAAATTCATTCTTGGTGCTTGACACCACAGAAATTACAGGTACGTATGGGAGATCTTCAGAAGCTTTGTTAAATATTTTGTTTATTTCTTTCTTTCTTTTAAGAAAAATAAACTTGGGACGTGTTCTGGTTTCACATTCTTGAAATTCAGTGTAAAATACTTCCCAGGGTATAGTTCAAGTTTGAATATTTGTGGCCTCTCTATGATGTGAGATAAGTTCTAGTAGGGAACTAAATGATCTCTAGGAGAAGCTGAACACTTACATTGTATGATTTCTATAATTTATAAAATAAGTATGTACAGTAACTCTTTTTTCTTATGATGTTTTAAAGACAGATATGCAAATTGTCACACTTGTGTGCAAAGTGAGTTTTGACTTGCTGTAGTGTGGGGGATATTGAAAGAGGTGTAGAAGTATTGTTGTAATATCATCCCTTCCTCTGAGGTTGCTTCTTGTATCAAATTGCATAAACAAATAAGCACATTCTACGAAATGGTTACTCAAATGAAATCTACTGCTGCTTTTCTATATTATGTGTCAGCTAATACAATTATATGAAATGCTAGATTTTAGTTTGGAAATCTTATTTTGGGTGTTTTTTGGTCAGGAAATTTTGTTGTCTCTTCAGTTCATTAGGGCATGCAGTGAGCTTCAGCCGGAATTCCATATATTGAAAATCAGGCCCTGCTGGAAAATTTTACCCATGCATTGCACGTGCTTTGGATGCAAAGAGAAATAGAAGGGGAGCACAGTGCAGAGGCAGAAAGCATTCTCATTAACTGAGCAATGTTCCCTCAATTCCAATATAGCTCTTCAACTGTTTCTCTGTCTGAACAATATTGGCTTTATTATGCTGCATAATTTCCCCTCCCTCTTTCTCCTGCTTTCCCACCCCTTTGGTTTTTCCACAGTCATTCCCTCTCTCTCTCTCTCTCATTCTCTCTCTCTCTCTCTCTCCAAGCATTCTTATTATTTCTTATTATTTCCCTCTGCTTGTTTTATATTTGACTGTTTTTCCCCCTTTTCAGTCTCACCTTTTTCCAGATCCAACTTCCTTCTCTAAGCAGAACCTCAGTAGGCCTCTCTTGAGTACAGTAGACTGGATGTGCTGGCAATAGCTTGACAAGATTCCAGCACATATAAAGAGGAAAGCCAAAAATGTATGATGCAAGAGGAGAGTGAATAAAAAAGCCTTTATTGCATCTTCAAAGTTGGCCTTTCAAAATTGGCAACTCAGAGGCTGGATGGATATGGCATGTTACATATACATGCATATATGTGTGTGTATATATGTTTTTTTTTTATTTATTGCACTCCTCTCCAGAGGGAATTCAGAATGGAAGGTACTGTTAATCCAGGGATTTTGGCATGAACCATCTTCATCTGCTTTTTAAGTCATACCACTTAGTAGAAGCAGTCTTACTGGTAGGATGATGAAGAGTGCTGAGTAAAGAGATCAGTTATTCTGGTAATAGATAACCAAATTTATCAGTTACAAACAAGATCAATATCATAACTTAAGATATTGCTCTTACTAGTTAAATCATACCATTTTCTGGGTTTTTTGTTTATATTTTTAGGCGAAGTTTTCATGTGTGCCTATAAATTTAATTCACTTTGTGACTTAATAAAAGAATAGCACAATACAAAATGGGTTAAAATGTACATAATTATGATAAGAATTCCATATAATCATACTTGAATGTAGTTTTCTTTTATGGTACCAGCACACTTAATTTTAGTGTGGCAATAATAATTATACACTCAAATAATTTACAGTCTTTTTAGTTTTAGTAACTAGTAATAAGGTTTGTTTGCAAGAGAGTGTATGGAAAGATGTTTGTAATAGAAATCTTGATTATTTTCAGCTTTTAAAGTCTTGTCTTCATGGATACTTTTTAGTTTTTTATGCAAGAAAGTTATTTTAAAAGCCCATGCAATTTTAATGATTATGAACACACTGCTGTTTTTTTAGCACTTGGAACAGCTGCGTGCAAACCGAAATAATCTAAATCCAGCACAGAAACTTATGCTGGAACAGCTGGAGAGTCAGTTTGTCTTGATGCAGCAACACCAGCAGGTGAGAACAAAAATATTTTTCTTATCTCCAACACTTTTGTCAGTAGTGGAGACTATTGTGTGTTTCTAGAATTCTAAAGAATTTCTGCTGTACAGAGTTCTCATGCCCTTTGCTGTGTTACGTTAATTTTTTTTTGGATAAAGGATAGTTGTGGATTAGTGGTTGAAACACAATGAGTTTAGCAGTGTTTTATTATAGGGCAGCTGGTTAATGTAAAAGTTTTCAAGCCACATTTTCAAAGTAACGTGAGTGGATGGATCTAAAAGCAGTTTTGCTTGAAAATACTTGACTCTAGTAACAGTTTTTCTCTCGTCCTGTCATTGTTCACTTCTCTCTCCCTCTCTGTCCGGCATCAGCAATAAAACACTCAGACTGAAGGGCAAAGAAAAAAAATGTGCTGATAGCTTTACTTAACATTTACTCAGCATTTTTATGAGCTTGGCAGTTCTCAAAATCAACCACAAAGATCTTAAAATGAGTATAAAATTGGAACTGACCAGTGCAGTAAAGTACACAAACTTTGTATGACCCTTCCTTTCTCAGTTCCGCAGCCAACGTTGTTGTGCTTTGTTCATGTTCCATTAGATGAGACAAACAGGAGTTGCACAGGTACGATCTACTGGAATTCCTAACGGGCCAACAGCTGATTCATCACTGCCTACAAACTCTGTCTCTGGCCAGCAGCCGCAGGTTGCTCTGACCAGAGTGCCTAACGTCGCTCAGCGTGGAATCCGTCCCGCCTGCCCCGGGCAGCCTATGGCTAATGGACCCTTTGCAGCAGGCCCCGTTCCCTGCAGCACAGCAAGAACGCTGGGTAGTACAGACACTATTTTGATAGGCAATAATCACATAACAGAAAGTGGAAGTAATGGAAACGTGCCTTACCTGCAGCGAAACGCACTCTCTCTACCTCATAACCGCACAAACCTGACCAGCAGCGCAGAGGAGCCGTGGAAAAACCAACTATCCAACTCCACTCAGGTACAGCTTCAGTTTGCTCATAGGGTGCACTCAGGAGTCTTCCTGGGCATCTCACTGGTGGAAGGCTCTCATTTGTAAAAGCACATTTTCCCCAGAGTTGGTGGCATAGATTCAAATAAAACATAGGTCAAACCTGCAAGCTACTTTATACTGTTGAAAATCTGTGTGTTAAATTATCCTTTCAGGATAAAGGAAATGATAATAAATCAAAGAGTGCAGTTCCATAGTGCTCAGCTGCCTAGCTTTGTAGAAAAGTTTTTTAAAAGGGAATAATTGTACATCTTTTTGTTGCTTCTTTAATGTGAAATGTTGTGATTTTGTTTTTTGTGTCGGAGGAATGTGCATATTTCATGGGAAGCTGAATGTTGTAGTTATTTTTGACATTACGTTGTCGCCATGATGTAATCATTACCATATTTTGTTTCCATGCAATCTTTAAAAAGTAATATGTAGCACCCAGCACCACAGGTTACTTGCAGAAAAATATTACAATACCAATAAGAATCCATAGGGATTAAAGTGTGTTAGTAAGAGTGTTTTGTGTATGTGTGTTAGAATTTGAAGGTGGAGCATTTTTATTTTATTTCCAGCCTGAATGTCTTTCTTCCAAGACAAACCTTATGGATGTAATTCAGAGTTCTGTAGGAAAATATCATAATGGTTTCATTCATTTTTACCAGATGGGTTATACAGCTCATAAAATGTTGTCTTCTTCCTCAAAACTGGCTGCATTTCTTGTTTAATTAATATTGCATGTTACTTTAGTGCCGAAGAATTGACAGTGGGCCTACATACCTAGATACTTAACTGCACTTACACTGCAACAAAGGCTGAGATAACACCAGAAAACTTTGTGTAAAACATGATTATTCAAAACTAAAATTTGTGTTACGATTTTCAAATGTTTCTTCTAAATAAGCAGTACTGTTTTTAAACATGACAGGGGCATTTGGAGCCTGTGCACCTTACTGCCGCTTGCTTAAATTAGAATTCACATTTGTATTTTCTCTGTATGAAAGAAGTTCTTCATTGTTGTGCCATTGTCCATAAAGTGGGCAAGTAATAATTGCAGAAGGAGCTGGCTCTTTTCCATGGAGAAAATATTTTTGGAAAGGCAAGGAAAGCTTGTGGGGCCATTTCCTGTGTCAATTGCATCAAGGTCTCAGCAGAGTTTTTGAGTTTGTAAC